AATATATTTGCAGACAAAGCGCATACAGCATTACCACAAATACGCACGCACAGTCATACTTACATATAAGTATACTTACCAATCATACATATACATATATGTGCATATTTTTAATACAATATAATGCGTCGATCGCTGCACTCGAGTTTTGTTTGGTGTGTGTGTGTGTTTAACCACAAAATCATGATTAAATTACATACCAAACGAATTTGTCCAACAGAGAAATAAAATTTCTCAAGCCTAGTCTATCAGCCCAGCTCACAATCCCCTCAGCTGGCAATAGCACGGAGAGCAACCACCATCAAGCCATCACAACCCATTCAGTCTTTTAGCTTTTCAGCCAGCCGTCCGAATTTGCTGCCAAGTGGTGAATAAGTTAGCAAGTCACTTTGAATCGCTGACAGAAAATCGAAAAACCACAAAAACATATCGAGACACTTCCTCAATTGGTGGTTTAGTGTCTGCGTGTGCGTCTTTGGGTCTGTCTGTATGTCTGGCTGCCTGATTGTTGATTGTTGGCTTTTAAGATGGCTGCTTAATATTACATAGTATAAGAACTCTTGTATGTAAGAGTTTTCTTTTCTGCTGCTACTGCAACTTATTTGCTATGCCCCATTGTACATACATACATACATACATACATATGCATGTAGGTGTGATGAAATTGATTTCTTTCATACATTCATTCACCGATTGTGGTTAAATTTTACAGTTATACAATTTCTAACGAATTTGCCACATGGCATTTTTGCGCTTATTTGTAGGAAGCACAAACATTTTTCAGAAAAGAGTTGATAAAAAAGTAATTTATGTAAAAGAATGCCAAATCTTAAACACTAAGCAAATTCGGTAGAGATTAGATTTGATTTGAGTTACTGGCGTGTAAGATAGGATAGGATAGGATAGGATATGTTCCACACATAAACATATCGTCACATCAATTTACAAAGGCCCTAACCAACATTTTTTTCGAAACTGCGTTTATCAAAGATTTTGAAAGCATATATTCAATAAAAATTTTAAAGTGTTAGTACCAACAACAGCGGAGTTAAATACCAGTTTTTAAAAAGTCCTACCTGTTTTTAATATCTTTTTTGCAGTGTTTTTATGCTTCTCCGGTAAAATAAAATATTTGTTGGTTAGGGCCTTTGTGAATTAAGGTATCGGTATGTATTTACATATGTACCCTAGTTCCTGGTTGAAAAGCAGCTTCAGAAGTTGAGGCTTGGTTCGAGAAATTTTTTTTAACAGGGTCCTTAAACGTAATTCTGAGACGCGCTGAAGCTCATTTCCTCTGCGAAAATGGCTTCATTTAAAGAGGACTGAAGTGGTATTGGAACCTAAGCTCAAATTCCCCGATTGGTTAAAACTCTAAACAGGGCCGCAAGCTGGGTTCATCCAAGAGTCTTTACGGATACAAGCAATGGGACTCTGTCTGTTCTTCTGAAGAATCGACGCGAATAATAATTCCATAAGATATTCGGTTGGATGCCCTAGCCGCTTAAAATCGCCCGGTCTGGATAATGGGTTAGGTTATCTTGGCTTTTCTCATCCAGCACAGGAGAAGGACAGACTTAGGCCACTGTAGGCCCATTGTGATGCCCTACCAGAGACTCCTTACATCAATTTTCTTAACTTATCAATTTTTAGCCCTAATGAAGCGCACAAAATCGTAGATACTAGCTGAATTCAGTTCAGCCAAACATTCAAAGGAATAGTGGAGAAACGAGCGTCCACAGGTAGAAAGTGAAGCAAGGTATCTAGGGCTTTAGTCGGCGTTATCAGTACCTTGAGAAAGAAAGAAGTAAAGCTTCTACGTCGGATGTCACTTAGCTTCACGTGTTCAAACTTTAGATATGAAACTAAGCCAAAGCCAAGCCTTATAGATTGCGACAAGCAGCGGACATACCATACATGCCAGCGGGCAAGGAAAATACCATATATGCCAGGGGATTTGTAGGTCTGGAAGGACCATTTTACATTAATGAAATCCATTCGTCATTTGGTTTCTGAAGATACAACGGGTTCGTCTTTTCGCAACCAATTACCCTCTGACTTTTCCGCTATGCAATCGCAATAATCCTTCCAAGAATCCCTTTCGGCTTTCCTGGGGGCATTCTTAAATTTTTTAGAGGGCTTCTTTGTAGGCAGTCCAAGAACCATTACGCTTTGCGAGCTTCCTACTTTCCTTCCTAAGAGAGGCTATTTCCTTGCTTCACCGGTGTGATTTCCTCTTTCCTTTCGGATAGTATATTATCTCATTTTCGTTGTTGGTGTTTCCGACAGGGTAGGAGTATGATGTATTTTGGAACGGATGACGGAAAATCGTTCCAAAATACATCGTATATTTATTACCTACTGTAATCAAGAGTGAAGTTGGGATTTTATTGGCGATCTTTAAAAATGTTTTCACCGTATCGCTTGCTTTTGCTTAAATACCACAATCATGGAGACGAGTTCGCGTCTTGTTCATCTCTAATTTTGGTAAGAATGATTACAAAAGAACGAAAAGCTTCAGGCCTACTATCAGTATGTTCTCCATGTTGAAATTTTTGGAGAGATTGGTTGAGCTACACATTTGTCAAACGATTCCTTCATCACATTCTCTTTTTTTTGCATTAGTATGCTTATCGGGTTTTTTCTTAACAGCGGTCGTCCCTCGGCAGGCAATGGCAAACCTCCGAGTGTATTTCTGCCATGAAAAACAGCTTCTCATAAAAATACAATCGCCGTTTGGAGTCGGCGTAAAACTGTAGGTCCCTCCGCTTTGTGTGACAACATCAAGGCGCACGCCACAAATCGGAGGAGAAGCTCGGCCAAACACTAACATATGTGTAAGCGCCAATCTATTATTATTATTATGCTTATGCTTATCGGGCAGGGTAATCTTATTAGATGGCTCTGGTTGTCCAAATAGGCAATGGAATCACTAAGAAAGATTTCGCTTTATTTATTTTTTCGGTCATTGGCAATGCTTTTGATAATATCGCCTTCTATAGCATATCAAACCCGTTGTAGAAAAGGTGGGGCCTGCCACTAAGCGTGCTTCTCATTATTGTTAAATTATGTTCATTATCAGTTATTCGTCAGTGATATAAGAGCGTTGAACTTCAGTACATAGCGTGAAAAATTTGCTTACAAAAGTTCAAAGGACTGTCGCCTCGTGCTATAAAGGCTACTACAGGTGACGTAGAGGTAGCTTCCGGGTAGATATTCGATAATGTTGTATTGCGCCCGGTAGACACAATTCGTCGAATCTTTTCAGATAGTTCCAAAACTGATACAGAGTCCAGAGTCTATATGGACGACTTTTCTCTTTGGGAATATGCCTTGATATTCAAGCCGAGGTTCTTGCGATCCAGAAGATTATGGACTGTAGTGGAGGAGAGGTAGAAGATTACGTGTCTCTTCGTCAAACATAACGAACGTGTTCTACTAGCAGTTCTAGAGGTGATCATACCAGAAATTATTCCTCCCAAAACCAACAATAGTAGTCCCATCTTGCAAAATCCAAGCTACCATCAGAATCTAAGTGAACTTTTCGCTCAGCAATAATTGGAAAAATTTAATTTTGGTTTCACTCTTCGAAAGTATTTATAGCTTGGCATTTGTCTTCATTGTTGACTGGTCACTTTTCGAGGTAAAAACATCTGACTGTGGTCGGCCCACATGGCGGTCCTTGTTGTCCTCTTTACTTTAATAAGGATGGTGCGTTGCGACATTTTTTGTGTCTCTCTGGTTCAACTCGGCGTAAGCCTTCTGACAGCCATATGTTGAGAGACGCAAACCTGAGCTCTTTTACACTCGATTTAAATTCTACTAAAAGAAAAATAAGAACCAATGGCCGGCGGGCCATCGAAGCTATGTATTAGTTCGAAAAATGCTCGTTGAAATGCGGATGCTCTGCATCTTAAGGTGCAAAAGTTGATTTCCTGTCTACTTTAAGCCTTAAGGCAAGCGATATTTGAATCTCCATTTACACGACCGATTTTCGCTCAGCAATGTTGTTGAATCGCCTCATGTAAAGGCTTTTTTATGGTGTAACACACAGAGCTCGCAACCGAAATCTTTCCGGCATTGTAGTTACACAAATCATATCTCAAATGCCTACTGGTAGCTGGCTACATAGTTGGTGTGGTCTCCTAGTAATCGTTAGAATTCTGAAATCCCTCCATTCATGTATTGCAAGTCGTGGCAGGGAGACTGCAAGCCGAAGATGGAGAGCTTTCAGCGGGTTTTAGTATTAAATGCTATGTAGTTTTCTTAAAAAATTGCTTTTTGCAGGCCAAACATTAAGGAGAACTTCCCCTCTCTTTCGGAAGAATTAATCATACTCTATGTAGTAGGTGAATCCAACATTAGGATTAACCTATCAATTTGAAAACAAAAAAGCCGAGAGAAATGTTCTGCAAAAATGTGTTTATTCGTGCAAAATGCTTTAGACTACGCAATAAAGTCCTTGGTACGATAAATCTCCAAATCAGTTTGCAAGCATTTGCGAAAGTCAGCATCATTATAACCGAGGCTGTATTCAGGTATATTGCGTTTATAAAAATGCAAACCGCGACCAATTTTTATGATATATCCGTTGCTCAGTGCTATTCTTCGATCATGTAATGTCTCATCGAAACTAATGGCGAAGTTTATACCACGGCTTCCCAAATCCGCTCGGAGTCCCTCTAAAATGTTTAGCTGATATTGGGCCGCATTTCTGTAAGTTTTATTTACCAATCGTATATACTTGAGATTGCGACATTTTTTGACCACCAACTCCAAAAATATGACAAGATTCTGGAATTGATAGTCATGTTGCAAATAAGGTTCATCTAGCCAGACCTCTTTTATTTTGCCATCCAGACATTCTCCGAAGAGACTTTGATAGCTGTTGCCGGTGGAATCGTTTTCTATTCGTAAGCGCTTTACGACTTCACCCACTACAACAAGATCGTCCACGCGTTTTTTTATTTCCTCAGCGCGATCTATATATTGCTTGATATGCTCGTAAAGAACTGTTTTCTTTTTCAAATTTATGTGACTACTTGCAATTTTCATAAGAATTTGTACGCCATCTTGGTAGAGATTTTGGGCTTCCAAAATGCGCCCAGCCTTATCGCACTGAACAGCACGCTTTAGTATATCTCTGGCATTCATGTAACACAAATTAAACAATTTTGTTCTTACAAATATATGAGCACTGCATACACATGCAATTTGAATTTGTATAAAACTTTTAAAACGATTTCGGGTTTTTATGTTAGATAATAATTGTACATGCAATTTTGGTGTAAAACACAAATACTTAGACGATTATACTAATAGAAATAGCAATTTGCAACAGAAACTAACAAAACACACAATTTTACATATTTTTTATTTTATTCAAATGACAAGGAACTACCAAAACAATATTTCCAACGAAATTTACATACGTCACTCTTCTTTTAACTTCGTTTGTTTGTACGCACTTTTAGGGCCCAGTGTTGTGTAAAGTCCAAACAGAATTTTCACTCCAAAAAATATGACTTATGACTCAAACGCAGACTCAATTTTCCAACTCTTCATAGGCACTTGGTGTTCAATGTTTTATTTAGCGCTTGAACCGCCGAATCCAATAAAGCACGCCGGTCGTTTCCCTTTTGTGCCAACCGACGCAATTGCAAATTCCAAGTGTTGCCAATTCTATATCCATTTAATGCAGAGGAAGGCTTTCCATCATTTACGGTAGTCTCCGTAGACTCTTTTTCTCATACACTGAAAGGTACGCCTCATCAGATGATTTCTTCGTCCACTCTTCTCTTGCTCTGTCTGAAATCCCGTTTAGTATCAAACAGCACGAGGAGGTCTTTCCCTATTCTGACAGAGCTGGTGCTATTGCTCAACGTCATTTTACACAGCCGTATCACCTTCTCAGGGAGAAAAAATTCAGACATTGTCCAACTTATTTTCATGCTATCGAAAGCGGCTTTGAAATTAACAAATAGACGATCCTCTTCTCGCGACTCTTTTCCAAGATTTGGAGTATTATGGATACCTGGTCTATGGTAGATTTTCCAGGTCTAATGCCACACTGATAAGGCCCAAACAGTTCGTTGACGTCTCTCACGCAATACAAATCTCAGCAATTGGGCATGCGATCCGCGTAAGAGTCGATGCATGCATCTTATCAACTCCTCGCCTTGCATAGCTCAGCTGGCAGGCCGTCAGCCCTAGCAGATTTGTTTTTTTTTCAGCTTCGTCATTGATCTTCGTACCGCGTCATAGCCGTGCAGTGGGACATCTATTCCGTCATCATCGAGTGGGGGCTTTCGTTGCAGGAGAACCTTCCCCGATAAACACCCGGTTACATACTTAATCGCAATAAACTTTAACGATACATTTTAGAATTCATTTTTTTCCTAGAGTCGGAATTAACCCAAAAACAATGCAATCAGAAAACAGCACTTAAACTGAATACGTGTTCGTTTTAGCTTATTTTAAATTTCCACGATCCACGAATAAATCCGAGCAGACTGGGTGTTAAGGAGTTCAGGTGTTCGTCTCTTAACATATCGCTGCCAAAAGCCTGACATCCAATCTCCAAAAAGGCAGGCAGAAGCACACAGAGAGTTCAGGAGAGGAAAGATAAATAGGGTTGTCATCAGTACATAGCACAGTCAGGTTTTTAGGCCATAAGAAGTGACCAGAAGTGACTTGTCTGCAGTCCCATCTGCTCAATGTAAGCAAATACCTAAGAAGATACTCTGAGATTGAGGACAACCTGAGTTTTGACACCTGCAACACAAGAATCTTCTAAGTCATTGCTGAGCGAAATATTTACTCAGTTTCTGACGGTGGCTTAGAAGGGCAAAGGTGGGAGTTCGATAACAGAGTAAAACAAGTTTATTACCTTTTTCCACGCAGTTTTATTGAGATTTGCATTACCACACTAGACTGGACGTAGCTTGAGGGCTGGCCAATAACTTGAGGCTAGTTTGGCTGTCGATGCAGATACGTAAACTACTAATTATCAACGTTATCTCCGTTACTTTCAATATAGTTTCCACATCCTGACCCTGCATCAGTCTTGGAGTGTTCACTAAAGATTCTACATAGCGTAAGCTTGGGCTCAGTATTGGGGGTAAGCCAGCACTCAGCCACAGGTAACTCAACATTGTATGACGTATGTCTTCAGCAGAGTCAACGGTTGTGCACCATCTGGTGGCAATAAAAAGACATTCAAGTCTTATTCCCCGGCTCCAACAATTTCCGCCTCACTCCACCCTGTATCACACGAGCACTTATACCTTTTAAGCCTACAGAAATCTACCCTTATATATTTAGGTTTATAAGGTTTTAAAATTTTTTCATTTTACGTATTTATACCGCCAATAGGAGACTGCCTATATTATATCTTAATGTGAAATGTCATTTGCCTGTGAATTAATTTCTTTTTTTTTAAGTGAAAATGGCTACAACGGACGGATGAACAGCAATATGCAGACGAATACGAAGAAGACTACAAATATGAATTCAAAAATATGACGACCAAAACGAGGGCGAAGACGGATACGAAGACCACAGCGAAGGCCAAAAGATTGCGAATATAAAGACAAATACGAATACGAGGTAAAATAAGAAGTCGCTTACGAAGACGAATACAAATACGACTACGAAGAGAACCCCGAAATCAAATAAGAAGACGAATACGAATTTCGTGACATTTACGAAGTCGACTTAACCTAATACTTAGCCAAGGATGAAAGCACTGGCGATGCATCGGAAATGTACCCATACGAAGAGGAAGACTAAGCAGGCAAATTTTAAGGCAAACACAACTACGAAGACATATACAATGACGGCGATCAAACAGAATGTAAACATGATCAGGGAGACTAAGACGAATATGAAGACAAATACAAATACGGCGACGAAGAAGAATACGAGTACGAACTGACGAAGTGAAAAATGTGATTACGAAAGGGAAGTCGAATACGAAGGTGAAGACTATGACAAACACAAACAGGTAGATTAAGACGAAGTCGAAAACGAATACAATGCTAAGACGAATTCTATTACTGAAGCTTGAGCTAATTTTAAGAGAAATACGAATTGAAATGAACTAGAAATGAATCAACACCGCGCCCTCCATTTTTTTTTAATATTTCCAGACAACTGAACTTAAAGTAAAAAATTATCAGACACTAACTTTGACACGTTGAAACCGATGAATTTGCATGACTTTAATAGCCATATTCCCACGCCAATAACAAAACTCAATGGCTGACTATTACTATCTTTACTACTGCGCCTAATACTATACCGCAAATTTATTTTAAGCGCTGTTATGGTGACAATTGTCACTGTTATTGTTATGAGCTACTTGAGTACACGACAACGGCCAAACAATGTTTATATTTTGTTTTAGTCGCAGTAATTGTGACAATAGTCGTACAGTGAATTTTGACAATGATGTGGGAATAGGGCGGTAAGACTTAAATCCAAAATTATACGAGGGAAGTTTAACAAGTCAGTGACTTTAAATTCTCTGCATGCGACTGTAAATGCAATGCTGCGGGTGCATAGCTTCTCTACACTCGACCATAAGCCTAGCCGTTTGAAAACTTCAAAGGAGTGTTTGGCGATGTTCATCCGTAATCCGAAAGAATTTTTCCCCTTTCTGTAACCGTGGGCAAAACATCACAATACACCAGAGGAACAATCAGTACAGGGGGTTTCTCCGGGTGAACGTCATTCGCCCAATAAGATCATGAGTATGGTTTTTTGGTATGCACTCGGCTTCATTCACATTGATGATCTTGAAAACTGGAAAAAAGGACCACATTTGGCCAATAAGAAAGTGCTATTCCATCAAGGTCACCATAGAAAAAATCCACCATTTCGGCTACGAACTACTGCCTCATCCTCCATCTTCTTCAGATTTGGTCTCCAAATACTATTTCCTGTTTCCGAACCTAAATAAATGGCTGGGCGGTAGGAGATTTGGGTTGAATGAAGCTCATGCTGAGGACCTTCAAAACCCTATTATTTGGAAGGAATTAAAAATTGGAAAAGAGCTGTAACAGGAGACTATGTTGAGAAATAAAATACTATTTTGCCGAAAAATATATATTTTATTCAAAAAGGCACTCATGTGCGACACTGCCAGAGTATATTTTTTATTGTTAATTCAATGATTTGGTAAACTGGATTTAAAAGCTGAAAGTAAAAAAAATTTGACTCGAAATCGTAAAAAATCGTAAAAATTGCTAGAGTATTTTCAGGGCTAAATTCGGTTACAGCGGAAAAACATCTCCAAGAACCACGCCTAGCCATTCTAGAAGCTGGAAAAAAGTCAAATTTCGCATGCCTGTGTAATTGGCGCACTCAATTTCTCTGTCAAGAGAATTAGAAAGGAGGTTACTGGCAACAGGAACACTCTCTTTTTAGATATATTAGCAAAAACTTTTACAAAAAAAATTATTAATATATGCATGTAAGCCATTTTCATATTTTCAAGCAACTTAAATTTAAAATTCCCAACGGATTTCCTTGTCAATTACAAGCCAACCAACACTTTCATGTGTTGTAGAAATTTTCAAGGACATCCGCAGGAAACATTTAAAAAGCATTTACATACATAAATACATACATAGACGAACACGAGACTGTTTTATCAAAAATGTCATGTTTCCCACACATCTATCTACATATATTTTTTGTTCGTATTTTCTTGCGCTACGGCGATTTACACATCCTTTCATATGAAAAGCTGTCAGAATGAAAAACTTTCCAGACGGAGAAATTTTTAAGTGACAGACAAACGAACAAGCGAGTGCAAAATAAACGGACAAGGATGTTGAGGGCGTTGCTATCTATGCGGGTGACGGCCTTGCTGTCACACCTAAAACGAAAAGCTGCCACAGTAGGAAGCAAAGCGTAACGTAGAGTAGCAGAAACAGAACAATAGCGGTACATTTCACAGCAGCAAAAGTTTGGGGAGGGGCTGGAGAGGCAGAGCTAGAATAAGTGAATCGTAGGAGTTGCAAGCGGCAGAAATTGAAGTATATGCCAGTGCATTGTTTCATTTCGCTTGCATCTCGAACTGCTGTTGATTGTTAGGGTTATGAATACTTTATGCAGGGCGGATAGCGGGATACTAGTGGTAGAGAGAG